TTTGTTCGCTCGTTCGTCCTTCGATTTCACTGAGTTGCCCGACCGGATGTAGGCCGATCGCGCAACTCATTGTTTTAATTTTTTTTGTCTCGTGGGCGTTTATAATAATACCGTTTCTTATAATACTCTGTTTGATACATCTCTTTAAATAATAGTGTTTCTTAATCCTATTTTGTAATATTAATTTGAGGCCTCAACATTCCTCCCCCTCTGAAAGAAGGAAACTACGGTCTGTGGTTTTTGTTACAATTTTCTAATACATCATCGTTGGATCGTTCTGTATGTGCGGTCGGGCACTCGCTTGTTTCTTGTTTCTTTTTGTTACGTGGATACATATTCCTATTACGCTTAAAATAATTACAATCGTTAGGGTCGATCCTACGAGATATATGACATAAGGATTTTTTATTATGCTATCTTGGGGTTTATCCAATTCTTTATTTATTTCGTTTATGTCTAAACTTAATTCCATTAGTTTGTTAGGATTTCTATAGTTACAGGCTCCATTCTAATTTCTTTTTTTGCTTGGTTCTTAGTATTTTTATTTTCGCTTGTTAGTGTTAAATTAAAATCTGCTAAATGCATTTGTATTTGTTTCATATTCGTTTGTCTTTTTGTTTTTATAATAATGTCGGGCGTAGTTATTTTACAATTTTTATTTATACTTATTTTTCCTGTTTGCTCTATTTCGATTTTTTGTTCCGCCTGATCATTACATTGTACAGTTAGCTTTTATTTTTTGGCGTTAAGAACAGCCACGTTTGTGGTTCGATTAAGGTTATCCATAAAGTTACGTTTAACAATATTTGACGTTTTTCACAGATATTTACATATCTTGGCGCTTTTACATAAACTTGCATCTCGCATGGTGCATCGGCTTTTGTAAAGTATACCGGGTAGTTTCGGTTACATATATATTTTATTCCGTTTCGTTTACAATCACTTAAATCACGCTCCTCTAACGTTATATAATTATGATTTTCTTTATCTATTGCTAAGATGTTGTGAGTAATTCTTAAAAATGTAAAAATATTCGCGTGGTTATAGACAGGTAATAGTGTCGTTTTTATTATTTCATACACGGGGTATGCTACCACGGGAAATTTAATTATTGTGTAAATATTCGGGCTCTCGTAATACGCGTTAATTTCTACGTAACTCTGTATATTGTTCCAATTTTCTAACTTTAAATGAGAAATGAGATCTTCGAGTCAATTGTGACGTTGCTTCTTTTAATTCTGTTACTATATTTTCTATCGGTAATAAACGAGTGAGTATGATTCCTTCTCGCAAATATGTGAGGTAATTTATTGTATCTTTCACGTCTTCTATTAGATCTTCGGTAATTGTAGTTATTATTAATAACTGTTCGTCTATTTCTTCTCTTCTGGCGAACTTGGCTATTTTCTGCTGTATTTGTTTCGTGACGTTCGTCAGTAGTTGTTCGTTATGATATAACGATTTTTCTAAGGCCTCCATGTGACCTATTGTGGCATTTATCACCTTTAATTAATTTTTCGCGGTGTGCTGTAGAGTCTGTTGCTGATTTTGTATCAGTTCAAGCTGCTCATGTATGTGTTGTGCGTCGTCGGCATCCATAGTACCGAACAGCGTTTTGTTGATCGTGCCGATCGCATCTATTAAACCACGTTTGTTATCGTTTGTTTTATATATAGTTTGTAATCGCATTAATAATAATTGCGTTAATTTTACGTTATCTTTCTCTATCGAATGGAGAATATTTTTACACATCTGCTGCGTGTCCATTGCGAGTATCCTTTCGCATAATTCCTCGGTTTGCTGCAAAAATTCTAGCTTGAAGTTGGTGATATCGGTTTCCTAGGGCTGCTACGTCGATTTTAATCGCTAATTTCCATGTAGCTTCTACCTGTTGTAATTGTCCGGTTCTTTCAAAGTATAGTCCCGGTTCGTTGCTGAATTGTTGTACGATGGTGCTGTGTTGGGTTTTGCTTTTTTTGCGAAGTGCTGAGCGACGCGACGATCAGCGTCGTGTAAGATAAGGACTCAAGTTACTTTTCTCCGAATTTTTATCTTGGCTTCGTTATACCATCTTTTTGAATTATTCCTTTGCGCGTTTAGTCGTTCTTGAAGCTTAGATCTGAGCACATTATTTGTTTGCACTAATTTGTAAAATGAGGTGCATACGGTGTGACCGCTATTTTCCTCCGTCAACGTGCGATGCGTGCTGGCGCACGTATTGGCTAAGAGCAGCGCGTGCGGGCGCCGTTAACGTGCGTGCCGCGCCTGGTAAAATGCGTTCTAGTTTTGGTGCGGGGCCCTTGTCGCCCCTCCCCCCCCCCCCGCCTATGAGGAGACAGGCCGCCCTGGCACGTAGGTGCCTATCCTGCCCCTGCAGGTTTCTATGGATGTCACCACTGACCGGAGGGTGGTGTGAAGTTAGTCCAACGTGTTTGATTATTGGTAAGTACTGATTATTTTATTTTTCGTTATTCTACTTTTCTTATTGTTTATTACTATCGCCTACTTTTTATTGCCTATTTTCGTTCTTTTGCTTTTATTGTTCTATAAAGGGCTTTAGTCGGTTTACGTGTACTCGCGTAGTTTTTCGTCCCTTTTTGATCGTATAATTGACGTCTGAATGTTTTTCGATTATTTCGTATGGTCCTATCCACGGGGATTCTAATTTTTTCGATCTTCCTCTGCGCACTGTCTCGTCGTGCAACAGAACTTTGTCTCCTATTCGGAAATTGATTTCTTTCATTTTCTTATTGTAGTCTCCTTGGCCTTAGTTTTTTCGTTTCGCAAATGTTCCTTTGCAACTCGTTGTGTCGCTCTTAATTTTTCTTTTAATTCCTGCGCATAATTATCGTAAGTATATGTCGGTTTCGGTGGTTGCGACAGTGCTGTGCCGTGTACATAATGTATATACATATATTTAGTAGTACGTAGACTAGTTTCTTTCTTTTATAACTTTGCGCGAAACGTCGGCAAATCGCGAGCAGTAAAATCATGCGACTCACCTGTCGGTGCTGTTATCGCCCATTCGCCGACGGTATCCACTCCCCCCGAAAAGAGAGCAACTACTCGCCCGCGGACATTTTCCAGGACCGCGGGCACTCCCAGTCAAGCCGACTTACGGCACACAACTCACCGTCAAGCCGTCTTACGGCACGCACGCACGCACGCACGCACACACACACACACACACACACACACACACACACACACACACACAC